CACAAACTCAGCACCCCTCACACACACAGCCCCCCTCAAACACAGCACTTCTGTCACACACACACAGCACCCCTGTCACACACACAGCACCCCCCCACACAAACACAGCACCCCCACACACAGCACCCCCCCAAACACACACACACAGCACCCCTCACACACAGCACCCATCACACACACAGCACCCCCCACACACACAGAGCACCCCTCACACACACAGACACATCACCCCTCGCACACACACACACACACATACATAAACTGGCAAACTTAAGGATACATACCCTGACACACAGATGCACACCCTGACACACATGCAGATACACAGACACACATGCAGATACACAGAGACACACACATTGACACACGGATAACTATACTGACAAACATGCAGATACATAGGCACATATATACATACACTGAAACATTTAAAGATACATACTCTGACACACATACCGATACATACCCTGACACACAGATATACACCCTGACACACATGCAGATACAAAGACACATAGATGCATACACTGAGATACTTAAGGATACATACCCTATATTTATTTGTATCTGTATGTGTGTCAGGTTGTATATCTGTGTGTCAGGGTATATATCTGTATGTGTGTCAGAGTATGTATATGTGTCTGTGTTTCTGCATGTGTGTCAGTGTACTGTGCATCTTCAGGTGTGTCAGAGTGTGTATCTGTTTGTCAATGTGTCAGGATATGTATCTGTATGTGTGTCAGGGTATGTATCTGCATGTTTGTCTGTGTATCTGCATGGGTTTTAGAGTGTGTATCAGTTTGTCAGTGTGTCTGTATGTGTGTCAGTGTATGTATATGTGTCTATGTATCTGCATGTGTGTCAAGGTGTGTATCACTGTGTCATGGTGTGTATCTTTAAGTGTGTCAGTGTGTATCTATGTGTCTGTGTATCTGCATGGGTGTCAGAGTGTGTATCTGTTTGTCAGTGTGTCTGTGTGTCAGGATATGTGTCTGTATGTATATCTGTGTCTGTGTATCTGCATGTGTGTCAAGGTATGTATCTGTGTGTCAGTGTGTCTGTGTTTCAGGGTGTGTGTGTGTGTATCTGTATGTGTGTCAGATGTCTGTATCTGTATGTATGTCAGGGTATGTATCTGTGTGTCTGTATGTGTGTCATGGTATATATCTTTACATAGTTACATAGCTGAAAAGAGACTTGCGTCCATCAAGTTCAGCCTCTGTGTGTCAGACACACAGATACATACCCTGACACACGTACAGATTCACACGCCGAAACACAGACACACAGATTCATATCCTGACACGCATACAGACAAACAGATACACACCCTGACACACATACAGATACACACACTGACACACAGACACAGAGATACATACCCTGACACACATTCAGATACACAGACACATAGATACATACACTGACACACATATACACACCCTGACACACACCTTGACAAACATGCAGATACAATGACACACATATACATACCCTGACACATATACAGACACAGATACTCACACCGACACACAGACAATGACGCACATATACACTGACACACATGCAGATACAGATATAGACACATAGATACATACCCTGACACACATACAATGTCTGTATGTGTGTCAGTGTATATGTGTGTCAGTGTCTGTATCTGTATGTCTGTGTGTCAGAGTATGTATCTGTGTTTCATTTTGTGTATCTGTGTGTGTCAGTGTGAGTATCTGTGTGTCTGTGTATCTGCATGTGTGTCAGTGTATATATCTGTGTTTCACTGTATCTGCATATGTGTCAGGGTATGTATCTTTGTGTCATTGTGTGTATCTGTGTACCTGTATCTGTATCAGTGTATGTATCTGTTGTATGTGTATCTGCATATGTGTCAGTGTTTTATTCTGTCTGTATCTGTGTGTGTTAGTGTTTGTATCTGTGTATCTGTATGTATGTTTTTGTGTGTCTATATGTATGTCAGTGTTTTTATCTGTATGTTTGTGCATCACTGTGTCTGTACATCTGTACCTGTATGTAAGTTGATGTGTGTATCTGCATATAAGGTCACTGTTTGCATCTGTATATCTGCAGGTGTGTGTGTATCTGTATCTTATGTGTGTCAGTGTTTGTTTATATGTGTCTGCACGTGTGACAGTTTGTGTGTCTGGGGCAGAGGAGTAGCAAGGGGAGCCTAGGGCAGAGGAGAAACAGGGAGAGCATGGGTCAGAGGATAAGCAGGGAGAGCCTGGGGCAGGGGAGAAGCAGATAGAGCCTAGGGCAGAGAAAAGGGGGATATGGGACAGAGAAAAACTTATACATTTGAAATAAATGCAATTATATTAATTACAAACATTTTGCTAATGGGAGGGTTACAATTTATGGAAATGGGCTGCCAAGGGGTACTCAAGTGAAAAAAGGTTGGGAACCACTGCTCTAGGGGACAAGTTTGTACTCAGCACTAGTTGCAATTAAATCCTTCCAGCAGTTGTTCATACACACATGTTCTAAATCTGATCAAAATTCACAAATTTAGTTAACACTAATTTTTAATTTCTGAAGTTAATTCAAGAACTATGATGTTAAAGATTTTTTTTTAGCCTTAATTATGCTTTGTTATGTAAAAAGGAAGACACCTTTTATGCTTATGTTCATTGTCTACTTTTGTATTATAAGCTTATCATTGAAAGAAGCAATTAAGTGAGATGAGGATGTTGCAAGTGTTCTCATTTTCCTGACATTGTACAAGATTGGGTATTCTATACAGGGTTTGGAAGCAGGAGAGGGTTTTTTTCAGCAGATTTTGGACCCCAGCAGGGAGAAGGGAAGAAGTCATGATGGATGTCAGTGGGAGGAGGGGAGGGACCATCATGCTGCTAAAGAGCTTGGTAAAAACAAAAAACAACAACAAAAGACAAGGGTAACAAATCTCTTTTACACGCATCCAGCACCTTAGAGAGATCTGTGACCATAGAGAGATCTGTAATCTATTTACAGTGAGTGGACGTGGTCTTTTAACCCCTTAAGGACACGTGACATGTGTGACATGTCATGATTCCCTTTTATTCCAGAAGTTTGGTCCTTAAGGGTCAAAAGCAGTCAAGGTTGGACTACAACTTCAATCATTCTCAATGTACATTTTGTGCTGGAGAAGCATGATGGGAGTTGCAGGTATTGGCAGAATGAGTGCCAAAGAGTGTTGACACACTGGATGGATTTCAGTTTAGGATGCAGTGATTGGGGCAGATGGCTGGGACAATGATCAGAGCATGTTACAGTGAAAACATTGTCACATTGCAGTGATGTATGTGTGACAGTTGCACTCTCTTTTAAAACTATCATTGTTAAAAGAGCAAATTAAAATTGTTGCTCCTCATTAAACACCAGGGCCGCCATCAGAAATTTTGGGGCCCCTGACAAAACACAAGGTTTGGGCCCCCCCCCTCCCTCCCTCTCTCCCGGGCCCGCACAGGCCCTACCTGGTCCGCTGACAATGATGCAGGACTGAATGTGGTGTGTATAGTGGAAGTGAATTAGAATATGTGTAATGGATGTAGTGTTTGTGTGTATTAGATACTGTTTGTACAGTGAATGCAGAGTGTGTGTTTGTGTAGCGGATGCATTGTGTGTACAGTTAATGCAGAGTGTATGTTAGTGTAGTGAATGCAGAGTGTGTGTCAGTATAGTGAATGCAGTGTAATGAATGTAGTGTGTGTGTTAATGCAGTGAATGCAGAGTGTGTGTAAATTTGTAGTAATGCAGAGTGTGTGTTAATGTGTAGTGAATGCAGAGTGTGTGTTAGTGTAGTGAATGCAGAATGTGTTAATGTGTAGTGAATGCAGAGTGTGTTAGTGTGTAGCGGATGCAGAGTGTGTGTTAGTGTAGTGAATGCAGAGAGTGTGTTAATGTGTAGTGAATGCAGAGAGTGTGTTAGTGTGTAGCGGATGCAGAGTGTGTGTTAGTGTAGTGAATGCAGAGATTGTGTTAGTGTGTAGCGGATGCAGAGTGTGTGTGTTTGTGTAGTGAATGCAGAGTGTGTTAATGTGTAGTGAATGCAGAGAGTGTGTTAGTGTGTAGTGGATGCAGAGTGTGTGTTAGTGTAGTGAATTCAGAGAGTGTGTTAGTGTGTAGCAGATGCAGAGTGTGTGTGTTAGTGTAGTGAATGCAGAGAGTGGGTTAGTGTGTAGCGGATGCAGAGTGTGTGTCAGTATAGTGAATGCAGAGTATGTCAGTGTAATGAATGTAGTGTGTGTGTTAATGCAGTGAATGCAGAGTGTGTGTAAATTTGTAGTGAATGCAGAGTGTGTGTTAATGTGTAGTGAATGCAGGGTGTGTGTTAGTGTAGTGAATGCAGAGTGTGTTAATGTGTAGTGAATGCAGAGAGTGTGTTAGTGTGTAGTGGATGCAGAGTGTGTTAATGTGTAGTGAATGCAGAGAGTGTGCTAATGTGTAGTGAATGCAGAGAGTGTGTTAGTGTGTAGCGGATGCAGAGTGTGTGTTAGTGTAGTGAATGCAGAGATTGTGTTAGTGTGTAGCGGATGCAGAGTGTGTGTGTTAGTGTAGTGAATGCAGAGTGTGTTAATGTGTAGTGAATGCAGAGAGTGTGTTAGTGTGTATTGGATGCAGAGTGTGTGTTAGTGTAGTGAATGCAGAGAGTGTGTTAGTGTAGTGAATGCAGAAAGTGTGTTAGTGTGTAGCGGATGCAGAGTGTGTGTTAGTGTAGTGAATGCAGAGTGTGTGTTAGTGTGTAGCGGATGCAGAGTGTGTGTTAGTGTGTAGCGGATTCAGAGTGTGTGTTAGTGTAGTGAATGCAGAGTGTGTTAATGTGTAGTGAATGCTGAGAGTGGGTTAGTGTGTAGCAGATGCAGAGTGTGTGTTAGTGTAGTGAATGCAGAGTGTGTGTTAGTGTGTAGCGGATGCAGAGTGTGTGTTAGTGTGTAGCGGATGCAGAGTGTGTGTTAGTGTAGTGAATGCAGAGTGTGTTAATGTGTAGCGAATGCAATGTGTGTGTTGTGTTAGTGGATGCAGCGTGTGTGTGTGTTGTGTTAGTGTATGCAATGTGTGTTGTGTTAGTGTATGCAGTGTGTGTGTGTTGTGTTAGTGTATGTAGTGTGTGTTGTGTTAGTGTATGCAGTGTGTGTGTTGTTAGTGTATGCAGTGTGTGTGTTGTGTGTTAGTGTATGCAGTGTGTGTGTTGTGTTAGTGTATGCAGTGTGTGTGTGTTGTGTTAGTGTATGCAGTGTATGTGTGTGTTATTGTATGCAGTGTGTTGTGTTAGTGTATGCAGTGTATGTGTGTGTTATTGTATGCAGTGTGTGTGTTGTGTTAGTGTATGCAGTGTGTGTTGTGTTGGTGTATGCAGTGTGTGTGTGTGTGTTGTGTTAGTGTATGTAGTGTGTGTTGTTAGTGTGTGATCTGGGGTGAGGGGGAGGAAGGGGCATTTTAACATTAATTTTTTATTAATTTAATTAAATGTTTCTCCCCCCTCCCTGCTTACCTGTGTCCATGGAGGGGGGAGATTCCATCCCTGGTGGTCCGGTGGGGGGCCCCCCTGCTCCCTGTTACCGCAGAGGGGGCCCAGGCAGCACACAGCTTCAAATCTTCTAATAACTCTCGCGAGACCCGCGGAGCGTTGCCATGGTAACCGGGTCTCGCGAGAGTTATTAGAAGAAAGAAGAGAGGAGGAGAAGCTGCTCCTGTGCTGCCTGGGCCCCCTCTGCGGTAACAGGGAGCCGGGGGCCCGCGGCTGCACACATAGATAGCGATATTCGTTATCTATGTGTGCAGAGAAACAAAGTGGGGCCCAGGACTGCCAGAGCAGTCCGGGCCCCCCAGGGCCGCCGGGCCCGTGACAACTGTCACGGTTGTCACCCCCTGATGGCGGCCCTGTTAAACACTATATTGTAGCTGTGCTTGAATGGCAGAGTAATTACATTATGGCAGTGTGCAGCTTGAGCAGAGCAGTGTACCCTGCAACGGAAACCTGTATTTTTATACACCCGGGTAATATAGTCATGTCCTCTCAGTAGTATGGATTCAGCATATGCAGTGGACTGTAACTCTAATCACCAACAGACAAACACGGATTGATTACATAGTTACATAGTACTGTTGGCCACACGTTTCTGTTACTGCTGTTAATGCAAACAAAGGTAAAAAGGCCAATTTGAAGTGATTTGACGCAAAATAGGAAAATAAATCCTTATTGAATACAGACTCATAGTCAGATTTCAGCTTTTACCCCATATATTAACCATTAGATTTTTCTATTTTTTTTATCAGATGTTTAAATTTTTTTTACAAAATCTGATAAAACAACCTCTTCAAGCAGCTAATTCCATATCTTCCTTGTTCTTAACTTTTCTTTTCCCAAGTCTAAATAGCTGTTCTCTTTTTGAACATGTTACCAGAAAGCTGTTTGTATTAACCTTGTATATATTAGTTTATTATATACTTTGTATAATGTTAAACCCTTGCAGGTGCTTTTCTAGTCTTTCTGCGTAACTAAAATATTCCGCCTTGGCAATTGTTCTAGTTCCAAAACATCCTTTGTTAAACAAGTGCTCAAATTGCACTACAAGGTGGGACCTACCAATGATATTTAAAGAGTTTAACCCCTTAAGGACCAAACTTCTGGAATAAAAGGGAATCATGACATGTCACACATGTCATGTGTCCTTAAGGGGTTAAATTATATTTCATCCCATGGATTATATCCCATTTTTATGGTGGACACATTTCACAAGATGTATCAACTGCTAACAGACTGTCACATCCTGTTCTGTTCTGCGGAGATGTCTGACCTTGGCTTCTGGTATCCAGTACCCTTTTTACAATTCTTGTTTAGTTTTCCTTGGTTTTTCTGGTTTTCTATTCTATGTCTGGTTTTCTTTATGCCTGGTTTTCTGGGTTTATTCCTTTCTTCCGTTCCTGGAATTCCCAGTCTCCTGGATTCCTTTAATCTTTTTGTTTCAGTTGGATCCTGCAGGCAGTTGTTCCAAGTCCTCGGCCCCTTTCTTGCAGGTAACTGCTGTGTGTGTTTTATTATTATTTAGTCATGCATATCTAGGCAGATAGGAACCCACCATAATTGGAGTACTTTGGTGCAGTGGTGGGCTGCATACATCTTGGCCATTTATGTATGTCTAAATCTCCAATGTTTTACATATATAGTACTTAGTTATGTCTCCTTTTGTTTTGCCTTGTATCTGTGGTCTTGTTTTATTTTGTCTTGTATTCCCAGTTCATGTACAGTCCTGTCCTGCCCTGTTCTTGTTTCCCCTCATGTCTTGTGTACATGTTCTGGGTTCTGCTTTCTGCCCTGCTCCAGTTCTGGGTTCTTCTAGTCTTGTCTTGTTTTCTTGTTAGGTGCCTGTCCTAGTCTTGCGTTGTTTCTGTACTGGATACATATCTGCTGCAGAGCCTCCCTATCCAGTTCCTGGGAGGTCTGCATATCATCAAGCTCCTAGCTCTTGGGATCCTCAGAAGCTGCATCAGAGCCTTGGTATGTGGCCGCACAAACGCTAGTGCTCAACACCAGGGGGCGTGTGGTTACCCTGCACCAGGCCCTGATGGTCCATTTCCACGCTGAGACTCCCATCATCATCAGGAACTCAGGGGTCCCAGTCTCTGTACCGCCACCCGTGACACAGACATTGCATATTGTTGTAATTTGTCTTCAACTAGTCTTAGTTTTCCAGGTCGTTCTTATTTATTACAACTTTTTTAGGGGTTGGTATTGCTCTCTTTGGTATCAGATTTAAATTTTTTTGTTTAGCATCTCAAGCATTGTTCACAATATTTAATAGCACTGATCTACTTGACTTAAAGAGGAACTATCACTTCTCTGGAATTTATACCATTGAATAAAATATTGAAGATTACAAATAGTGTTCATCTTTATCACAAGATGCTCTATTTTCTTCTACATACATGTTAAAGGGCTACTCCAAGTCTCAAAATAACTATAGACCACTGTAGTGATTATGATGTGAGGTGTACCCTGGCCCAAAACATTTTGCAAGAGTTTACCCTCTTACTACTTGGGCCTCTCACTGGTACAGAGGGTCCTCTAACGGCGGGTGACGTACCCAGCTTCTGAGGAAGCTGGATGGTGAACCTGATGGCCATTCATTGGCTGAATATGCACAGAACTGACACTTGTTCCGGGATAGGTAATCACGTACTAATGACGCTGATGGGGGAAGAGTTGCACCTACAGCAGCATCATTAAATATCTTTATCATAATAATATTATTAAAATATAATATTAATATATATTATATCCAAATTATGTTATAGTAAATTATAATAATTTATAATCATTATTATCTTTATAAATATCAGCATAATTAAATACCCTTCATATGGAAATGAAGTGGTCACGGTGCTTGGTGTAACCCTGTAAAGATTTAGCAAGTGGCATCATAATCCAGTCCAGACAAGGTAAAGCCAGAACAAATATTGAAGGCTTTCGTTTAGCGTTACAATATTGAAAACAGTTTAACATGGAATGGAAGAACTGTGCCAGGGGCCTCTGGACACTTTAACCACTTCAATCAGGTGGAGCTGTTAAATTGCCTACAGTGTCTCTTTAACAATACTCAACTGTTGCTTTTTAATGACAGCCATGGAAATGAGACTTATGGGAATTTGTGAATATTAATTGGATAATTTAGCTTTTAATATATGGCAGTTCATTTTTATACATAAAAAAAAAGAGAAAAACTCTCTTCTAAGTTCCCACCAAATATGAGGTGCAAAACATAAAGGGGAACGTGCGAGGGGAAACCTAATACACATTTGTGACAACAGCCCTGTCTGAATTAGGCTTTCCCCATAGGGAAGCACTGAATCAATGCAAAGCATGAGGACATCCAGCATCATTTCACAAAGTTAAACTCTGTGAAAAGCCAGGAAGTACCTATTATGGCTGTCTGGTAGACAGCCACTAGAGATAGTCTTAACCCTGCAATGCCAACAGTGCTGTTTCTTTAAAACTGCAATGTTTTCAGCTGCAGGATTAAGCGAACAGGGACATGCACCCAGACTACTCCAATGAAATGAAGTGGTCTGGATGCCTATAGTGTCTCTTTGTACACATCATTACACAGAAAATATTTAGCCATTGTGTCAATAATATCCAAGTACATATCAAAGGATGGCCAATGCTCTGGCTGTGCACAGCACACACCAAATGTAACTGGCATAGATACCCAGTTTGCTTATTTGGTTGGCTGGGTTGTTCCTGATTTTTATTTAAAGAGATATTGGTTTACTCTGTATCTCCCTGTGCATACAAAATGTGGCTGTCCAATGCACTAGTGATGCATATTAACAAATCATATTCTACACAAAATATACAAATAAAACAACTTGACTTTCTAATCATTATCATTCATTACTAAGCTGAGAGAAAGCCTGGATATTTTACTGATGTCGGAAACCAAGTTGCAATATATTGCATTATTGACCATTGCACGGGCCAGTTAAATGTCATTTAGTCTTACACATTGGAAATCAATGCTATTTAGCATCAATGCCCCAAACAAATTAAAGTGTCTCTTTAATCCTTAAGGGACAGCAAAGTAAGAATAAAAACATTCAGGTCAGTCATGAGACAGGATGAGGACCTCAACAAGGCTTGTTTGATTGATATTTAAGAAGGGAAGAGTTCTTTTGGTGAATTAGTAATTTGTTACCAAAGGAAATTTTGATATATACAAAAATCTTTTTTTAAATTAAAACCTTCAGTCTTGTGGTTTATGATGATGTCTCCAGATCACCTCAGTGGGATTATTTTCTCATATGTGCTTTACTCTTTTGTATCCTCCATACATAACTATATTTAATCATTGCAAAATTATTTAGTAAATCACGTTCCTGGTCAATTTTACACCGGGTGCACTAAATGCATTCATAATGCCCTGACTTTAAAATATGTTTAGATGAAGCAAATATTTATTGTATATCGTCAGGATATAAAAATTCTAGAAAAGTTGGATGAGAACTGATAAAACAACAAAAATGAGTGGAACATGAGAAAGATGTGAGAATGACAATGGTTTCAAATTAGTATTCTCAACTGATTTCCCTTATAGTCTCAATGAAATTGTCATTCTATGCAGTGATTTAGTGTGCCTAATTATAAACCAAGCTATGGATTTTGGAGAAAATTATGGTTGACATCTACACTTATTAGAGTGAGCTTTGGAGT